CCACATGGATTAACCTTTGTACCGACGCGACAGTTACATTGCACGCAAAAAACCTCTAAAAAAACACAGATTACGCATAAACTAATACACAAAATTATGCTTTAAACAATTTATTTCTCAAAGCAACAGCCTTACATCAATAAACAATGTATAAGCGTTACACAATATATTAAACGTTTACACATAATGTCCTAGTACTAATTGTTCGTGCAATAAAGCGTACGCGCTATAAAGCGTACGCACGGCTCTGTTCGCACTCAATTGTTTGTACAAAACTGTTCGTACGTTGTTATTAGTCGCTGGGGCACGTTGCCACAGCGACTCTAGGTTTCGGCACGCATCATTTTTTTTCGCGGATCTCCAATCGCAGATCGCAAATCTCCGTTGTACACAAATTTCCATTATGACACGCCACGATTTTAAGGAAAATTGAGTATATTGAAGTGGAAACATGTGAGACAACGACATTGAATTATAGAACTATATTTAGTTCAATTTAGTTATGTTGGAAAATTGAGTATATTTAAGTGGAAACATTTGCGACAAGGACTCAAGATTCTCTGCTCAAGGAGTGAAAGGAGAAAGTATCGTGAATGTTTTTGTATAGTTTTCAAGGATAAGTACTGAATGTATTTTATCTTCAGATACGCTCATCTCGCATGAATGTGCACATATTCGTGATAGACCTACACTAAAAGATGCTGAGCGATTTCGAACTGGGTCTAGGATTCATAAATACAAACATACCTTCGAGTACAAAAAATGCAAATATACCTTCGGGTACCTACCAAAATCTTACCAAAAATCTTACCAAAAACCTTACCAAAAACCTTGCCAAAAGTCTTACACAAAACGTGATCAGAAATGTGATATAAATACTATAACAATGACGAATATAAAACGCAGACAAACTCGCAAACAAACGTAAACTCTGGACAAAGTTGCCTTGCCGTGAACAAACACGTGGTTATAAACATGGCCGCCAGCAGAAAGAACCAGGGCAATGTGATAACTTCTGAAGAGAAACCAACCGACAATCTCCCGGTTTGTGTAAACAAAGATTGCCGCCTCTATAATATACTGCACAGTGCGCATTGGTATGTAGATTAGTAGATATGACTAAAGCGTTATTGCTATACATAATACAGTCGCTTGGTAATCTCCTCTCATGAGGCATTATTGTATTACACAGACGTTATAATGTGTTTAGTTTCGAAGGGAAGAATATTCTTGCCTTCCAGCCTTCGACGCACCAGTTGGTAACATTACACCAGCCGATCTGTGTAATGACAACAGGATAAACGCTTAGGGCCATTCCATTAATATCCACCCCCCCCCTACGGATGAGGTCAGTAAAATTTTAACCCCTAAGAAAAAAAGATCAAAGTGCCGACACAAAACACCCCTCAGAAATTTGTAAATTTTCCCCTTACCCCTCAGAAAATCGCAGAGATCAAAGGATGCCGACAGGCTTAACCCCTCAGAAACGACTTTTTGAGTCACCCTTCAGAAAAGCTCATCCGTAGGGGGGTGTGGACATTAAATGGAATGGCCCTTAACACCAACCCCACCGCGTTCTTGTAGACCTTCAGGATCTAGCTCAACCATAACAGCGTGAATAAGATCTCGTGGAACATTCAAATTGTGCTCTTGCCTGACCTTTTTATGCATGGCTCTATAGCCAAGCAATTGGCCAGGCCCATCTAATTCCTTCTGAACAGCATTCTTGACTTGGTCAACTGTCACATCTCTGTCGATCCGTTTGATGTTGAATGCTTCAATTCGTCTATCTGGAGTGCGCATACTCCATGCATACTGCGGAAAATCTCTTTTTAGGAAGTCCATAATCTCAGCACGTTGGAGTCCTTCTCGTATATATTTTGAAATGTTCTCTTTAAGTTGTTCATCGTCGAGCCAGCTACTGTTTCGAAAGTACGCCATGTTTGCAATACTGCGCTCGCAAGGCAGTCTGGTATACTATGGCAGCTCTAGGCCATGTGTAAATTTCAATTTATTTTCGAATTATTTTGTTTTAATTTAAATTGAAAAACATTTCAATTTGTTTT